AGTTTCGCCAGTTTGCATCTTGGGCACGAACATGGCACCACTCATCAATCATCAAGATAGCAAGTCAACAAGGAAAAAGTAGCCTTAAATAAAACACTAGACCAGATGAACTTAATATATACATATAGAACATTCTATCCAAAACCAATAGAATATACATTCTTTTGAAGCACACGTGGAAGACTTTCAGGGGTAGACCATTTTTGGGAAGCCTCAATAAATTTAGGAAGACTGAAATCATATCAAGCATCATTTCTGACCACAATGCTGTGAAACGAGAAAACTACAACAAAAAAGCTGTGAAAATCACAAATTTGTGGAGACTAAACAACATGTTATTGAACAACCATTAGATCCATGAAAAAATCAAAGTAGAGATTAAAAAATACCTGGAGAAAAATGAATATGCAAACACGACGTACCAACTCTTATGGGATGTAGGAAAAGTGGTACCTAGAGGGAAATTTATAGCATTACAGGCATATGTTAATGAACAAGGAAAATCTTTAACTGTCTTGTTCTACACCTACAGAACTAGGAAAAGAATAAAGCCCAAAGTCAGCAGATGAGGGGAATAATAAAAATTAAAACAGAAATGAATGAAATAGAGACAAAGAAACAATAGAAAGGATCAATGAAAGTAAGAGTTGGTTCTTTCAGAAAATAAACAAAATTGGGAAACCCTTAGGCTCACTAAGGAAAGAAGAGAGAAGGTGCAAATAAATGAAGTTAAATCTGAAAGCGGAGAAATTGCAATGGATACCCCAGAAATACAAAACATTATAAAAGAATACAATGAAAAACTCTATGTCAACAAATTGGATAACCTAGAAGAAATGGCTAAATTCTTAAACTCCTACAAACTCCCAAAACCAAATAAATAAGAAATAGAGAATCTAAATATACCATTCACAAGTAAACAGACAGAAACAGCAACCAAAAACCTCCAAGAAAACAAAAGTCCTGGACCATGTGGCTTCTCTGGAGAATTCTTGCAAACATTCAAAGAAGAGTTAACATCTATTTTTCTGATAATATTCAAAAAATTGAAGAGAACAGAATCTTTCCTAAGTCATTCTATGTGGCCAACATTACCCTCATACTGAAACCAGACAAGGACAACGGAAAGAAGCAAAACTATAGGCCAACATCACTGACGAACATAGATGTAAGTATCTTCAACAAGTTACTGGCAAATCCAATACAGCAATACGTTAAAAGGAGCATACACCATGACCAACTGGAGTTTATATGAGGGATGCAGGGATGGTTCAACATCTGCAAATCAATGTGATAAACCACATTCACAATATGAGAAATATAACCCACATAATTACTTCAGTTAATGCAGCGAACGTATTTGACAATGTCCAACATCCATTTATGACAAAAACCCTCAATGAAATTTGCGTAGAAGGAAAGTACCTCAAACATAGTAAAGGTCATAGATGACAAACACACAGCCAACAGTACACTTAATAGTGAAAAACTTAAAACCATCCCTCTGAGAACAGGAAAAAGACAAGAGTGCCCACCCTCAACACTCCTATTCAACCTAATACTGGAGGTTTTGGCCAGAGAAATTAGGCAAGAAAACGAAATATAAGATACCCAAATTGGAAAGAAAGGAGTAAAACTCTCACTCTTGGCAGGTGACGTGATTCTATGTAAAGAAAACCAGCAGAAAACTGTTAGAAATAATGAACTACAACAAAGTTGCAGGGTAAGAACTCTATCTCCAAAAATCAGTTGCATTTCTGTATTCTAAGAAGGAATTGGCAGAATGGGAATTCAAGAATACAATGCCATTTGTAATCGCAGCAAAATGAAAAGTATCTAAGAAGAAATTTAACAAGGAGATGAAAGACCTATACACTGAAAAGTATGAGACATTATTGAAAGAAAGAAGATAAAGAAATGGAAAGCTGTTCCATGCTAATGTATTAGAAGAATAAACATAGTCAAAATGTCCATATTACCTAACACAATCTACAGATTGAATGCAATCTCAATCAGAATTCCACTGACATTCTTCACTTAAAAAGAATGAAGAACCCGGAAGTTTATCTAGAATAACAAAAAACCCTTAGTAGTGAAAGCAGTCCTGAGAAAAAGAAACAAAGCTGGAGGCATCACAATCCCTGAATTCAAAATATACTACAAAGCCATAGTGATCAAAACAGCATGGTACTGCCTCAAAAACAGACATGAGGATGAATGGAACAGAATTGAAATCTCAGAAATAAATCCACATGTCTGTGGACAGCTAATTTTCAACAAAGGTGCCGAAAACATACAATGGAGAAAGGAAAACCTCTCAATAAATGGTGTTGGGGAAACTGGGCAGCAACATGCAAAAAAAGAAAGTAGACCATTATCTTTTTTTTTTCTTTTTCTTCCAATAGCCCCCTGGTACATAATTGTATGTTTTCAGTGGTGGGAACTTCTAGTTGTGGCATGTGGGTTGCCACCTCAGCATGGCTTGATAAGCGGTACCATGTCCGCACCCAGGATCGGAACTGGCGAAGTTCTGGGCTGCCAAAGCAGAGCACGTGAACTTAACCACTTGGCCATGGGGCCGGCCCCAAGCCATTATCTTACACCATACACAAAATTATCTCAAAATGGATTAAAGACTTGAACGTAAGACCTGAAACCATAAAACTCCTATAAGAAAATATAGGCAGTATAGTCTTTGACATTGGTCTTAACAGTACTTTTTAGAACACCATGTCTACTCGGGCAAGGAAAACATAAGAAAAAAATAAACAAATGGGGCTACATCAAACTAAAAAGTTTCTGCATGGTAAAGGAATGAACAAAACAAAAAGACAACTCACCAAGCGGTAGAAAATATCTGCCAGTCACCTACCACCTAGGGGCTAGTTTTCATAATATATAAAGAACTCATCTAACTCAACAACAACAAAAAAACAAGTTATTTAAAAAATGGGCATGTGATCTGGATAGATATTTTTTCAAAGAAGACATACAGATGGCCAGCGGGCACATGAAGAGGTGTTCAACATCACTAATCATTAGGGAAAGGCAAATAAAAACTACAGTGAACTACCACCTTAGACCTGTCAGAATGGCTATAATCCCCAAGACGAAAAATAACAAATGTTGGAGAGGATGTGGAGAAAAGGAGCCCTCACAAACTCCTGGAGAGAATGGAAACTGGTGCAGCCACTATGGAAAACAGTATGGAGATTTCTCAAAAATTTAAAATAGAAATACCATATGACACAGCTCTCTCACATCTGGGTATTTATCCTAAGAACTTGGAATGAACAAGTTACAGAGGCTTACTCAGCCCTATGTTCATCATTCACAATAGCCAAGATGTGGCAGCAACGTAAGTGCCCATCAACTGATCAGTGGATAAAGAGATGTGTGTATGTTTGTGTGTATGTATGTATATACGTACACACACAATAGAGTAGTACTCAGCCATAAAAAAGACAAAATTTTCCCACTTACAATATGGATGGACCTTGGGGGTATTATGTTAAATGAAATAAGCCAGAGAAAGAAATACCATATGATTTCACTCACGTGGAAGGTAAACAACTACATGGATAAAGAGAACAGATTAGTGGTTACCCGAGGGGAAAGGGATGTGGGGGTATGCAAAAGGGGTAAAGGGGCACAGATGTATGCTGATGGATAAAAACTAGTCTGTTGGTGGTGAGCATGATGTAGTCTATACAGAAATTACTATGTAATAATGTGCACCTGAAATCACACAATGTTATAAACCAGTATGACTTGAATGAAATAAAAGTAAAAGATAAAAAGGGCTGTGTTTCTCCCTCTTTCTCATTTTTGGAGACAGTCATTCACCCTGTGACCTCCTGGTTCTTGTGGATCTAAGAAGAGTTGTTCATTCCAATATTATTCAGTTTTTTTGTGAGATCAAGAATGACATCATCTAAGTTCCTTAAGTGTCAGATCAGAATTTCACAAGGCATTATCCAGAGTGGGCTGGTGAGGAAACACTTCCTCTTGAAGTTGGAGAATGAAGATTTTATGTTCTTTTGTAGGAAAGCACTGTCGAATCCTTTACACGGTCTGTAACCATGGCCAAATTGACCATCAAACCTTTGTGGACTTCAGTGAACTCCCATGCAGTCTGCAGCTCTTAACCTGTTCCCCAAGGGCAGCAAGGCCCTGTGCACTGTTAGCAGTTGACTGAAAAGAGCTCTTATGGCATATTGTTATTTCATTACGTGTTCTCTAATTGGTGGGAGGTAATTTGAGTCACATGATTATAGGGATTTTATGGTCTAAGTTGTCATGATTTCTTCCTCATGTCTGAACTCTAAATTCCAAATAACTTTCTAGCCTCACTAAATCATACAGGGAGAGAAAGGAAGAACTGAGTCTGTGATAAACATTGCACAAGTTAAAAGCTATGCTTTTCCACAAGAATATTTACATTCAGCCAGCTGCTTGTAATTTCTTGTAATGGCCTGGAGGACTTTGGGCTTTTTTATAAGTTTGGTTTCTACGGGCTTCCCAGACTTTCTGTTTGGTGATGGCACTAGACAAAAAAGCCTCCAGTTCTTCACTCTGTTTTTATCCATTGAGACCTCATGCAGACTTGACCTTCTACCTCATGGAGTGCTATAACTGGTGGGTAACAAGGAATAAGATGAAAGAATTTTTCTCACAAGGATTCATCAGTCTTAAATTATATTTGTTTTATTTGTATGACATTTCTTTCATTTTCCAACATGCTCTGGACTCTGCCATTACAGAGGAATACAATGTTATGTGACCACAGTAAAAAGGTGTGAATAATTTCCATGTGTTCATGATGCTGTTGAAGTGATGAGGAAGTGTGTACAGAAAAACAGTGAGATTTTGATGATCACAACATAGAATAGATGTTTGGAGATGATAGAATCCTACATAACCTTCCTACAAATGCAGAAAGAATGTCTAGTGCTTTCAGGCTTATGCATCCTACTCTGTGCATGTTTGTGAGGCTTTAGGACTCAGTGGCCATTGAGGACGTGGCTGTGAACTTCACCTCGGAGGAGCGGGCCTTACTGAATCCTTCGCAGAGGAATCTGTGATGTCTGAAATCTTCAGGAACCTGGCCTCAGTTGGTAAGAATGAGGACATTTCTTCCCTTCATCAATTAGAGAACAAACGGTTCTTGCCCATCAGCATTGTTCTAAGATGTAGAATGTGGGAAGAGGGGAGGTGTTTGTAAATAAATTGGAAATGGTCATAGCTCTTCATGGGCTCAGAATCTAGAAGTTTTTCTATAATTTCTAGTACTTTGGATTCAACTTTCGGGGTCTGCGTTTCAGGAAAAATATGGAAAGATCATGCTGTTGATGATTGGTACAAATAACAGGAAAGAAAACTAAGGTAGGTCGCAGTCACAATAGAAAGCAGTGGCTCACATGAGAATCCTGGTATGTTATGAAATTTTGAAAAGAAGCAAACAAAACAACACTGGCTTCAAATTTAGGTAGTTTTAGAAAATTTTCACCAAATATTTGATGTAGAGATTGTGTTGGCAAAAGCATTCTCTTCGAAGAAGTATTAATAACCCCTCTAGGAATATCGCTGTTTGGATAATAGCAAGGGTAAAGTCCTTCTGCAGAGCATTCAGACAAGACAAAACCTAATGTTTTCCTGCAAATTGTAGTAAAATTAACAAATATAACATTGTTAATAAAGAAATCATGAGCAATGTGCTTCTCATTTTTTACAGAAGTTGTATGGTAGAGAGACTCAGTGAAAGTGAAGAAGGTAGTCCATGTGGAGAACACTTCAGTGTTAGTCCAAATCTAAATGTGAACAAGATGGGGCTGGCCCCGTGGCCAAGTGGTTAAGTTCCCGTGCTCCGCTGCAGGCTGCCCAGTGTTTTGTTGGTTCGAATCCTGGGCGTGGACATGGCACTGCTCATCAAACCACGCTGAGGCAGCGTCCCACATGCCACAACTAGAAGGACCCACAACGAAGAATATACAGCTGTGTACCAGGGGGCTTTGGGGGAGAAAAAGGAAAAAAATAAAATCTTTAAAAAAAAAAAAAATAAAATAAATAAATATGAACAAGAAAACTACAGATGCAAAACCATGTGAGTGCAGTGCACGTGGAAAAGTCTTAGTGCATCTTCATTCATCCTTTAATAGACACAGTAGGTGTCATACTGAACACAAACCATGTAACTATCAAAAACATGGGCAGAAGCCATATAAATGTAAGGAATGTGGGAAAGCCTTCCACTTCCCCAGTTGTCGCCAAAACCATGAAAGAATTCACACTGGAGAGAAACCCTTTGAATGTAAAATATGTGGTAAGACCTTCAGGTTTTCCAGTAATGTTCAAGCACATGAAAGAACTCATGCTGAAGGGGAATCCTATGAATGTAGAAAATGCAGTAAAGCATTCACTTCTTCCAGTTGTCTTTGAGTGCATGAAAGAATTCATACTGGAGAGAAACCTTATGAATGTAAGGAATGTGGGAAAGCCTTTATAAATTCCTCAGGCTTTCGATCACATGTGTTCTATCACATTGGAGATGAACCTTCTAAGTGTAAGGAATGTGGGAAAGTATTCGTTTCGCCCAGTGCACTTCGAATCCATCAGAGAAGTCATATTGGAGAGAAACCATATGAATGTAAAGAATGCAATAAAACTTTCAGGTTTGCCAGTTCTCTTCAAAACATCAAAGAACTCACACTGGAGAAAAACTGTATGAATGTAAAATACGTGGTAAAGCTTTCAGGTTTTCCTGTAATGTTCATGTCCATGAAAGAGCTCATACTGGAAAGAAACCCTGTGAATGTAAAAGAACGCTGTAAAGCTTCCACTACTCTCAGATGACTTGGAAGACAGAATTCACATGGGAGAGAAGCTCTGTGAATGTCAGGAAAATGGGAAAGCCTTCGTTCCTCATGAAAACTTTTGAGGGGCTGGCCTGGTGGCACAGCGCTTAAGTTCGCACATTCTGCTTCTCAGCGGCCTGGGTTTCGCCGATTTGGATCCTAGGTGCGGACGTGGCACTGCTTGGCAAAAGCCATTCTGTGGTAGGGGTCCCATGTATAAAGTAGAGGAAGATGGGCATGGATGTTAGCTCAGGGCCAGTCTTCCTCAGCAAAAAGAGGAGGATTGGCAGCAGTTACCTCAGGGCTAATCTTCCTTTAAAAAAAAAAAAAAAACTTTTGAGGATATGGGAGAATGTACACTAAAGGATAATCTGTATAAATGTAAAGAATGTGGGAAACCCCTTTGTCATCCCGGTTCTTTTTGAAGGCATGAAAGGACACACTTGATAAAACTTCTCGAATGTAAACAGCGTGGGAAAGACCTCCATTGGCCCACATCCTTCTAGATGAAACTCCCACCATACAGAAATAGGAATGTAAGTAATATCAGAAAGCTTGACGGAAATTAATTTGTGTATAATGTTGTAGAAAACTTTCATGATGAAAGACTTGTTATAAAAGTTGTAAATATATTATGTTTACCAGGTCTCTTTCTTAAAGTGCAGCATTGGATTGTAAATTTCTATTAATTACTTTCAGAAATGAATATTAATGTAGGGTAATTCTGTTAAGTCATTCTTCATCAATGTTGCATAAAAATTAATAGGTAATGCTTTTTCCTTGAATCAGGTAATAATATTTCCTCATGTTTTTATGTTTAATTTTCCTGTGTTAAGATGCCATTGAAAAATGACACTTTGTATTTCTCATAATTTTCTTATCAGGTCCTAAGCCATTGTATATATTGTTCCTTTGAGAAACAACCTCTTTTAGGGTGGTTGGCCTAGGTGCCAGTTTCCATTTTCAATACTGTTGAACAGTTGGAATAAATTTTTATGTGTGGCAAGTTTATCAAAAGTATACTTTTCTACAAATTCTTATTTTCACCTTTGGGCGTTGGTTCTTTGTCCTTCCTTCTGACTCGTATTTGTGCATAGACTTTGAGTTATGGAGAGGCCTGTGATAGTGCGACAATATTTAGAGCTGGACATGTCTCGCTGTGTTGTGTCACGTCAATCTGGGTAGTGTTAAGAACTAGATCTTTAAGCATCTGTTTCCTGGGCTGGCCCTGTGGCTAAATGGTTAAATTCGCTTGCTCCACTTCAGCGGCCTGGGGTTTCGCTGGTTTGGATCCTGGACGCAGACATGGCATCGCTTGCCAGGCCATGCTCAGGCAGCATCCCACATAGCACAAACAGAGGCACTAGAATATACAGCTGTGTACTGTGCGGCATTGGGGAGAAGAAAATAAAAAGAAAAAAGATTGGCAACAGTTGTTAGCTCAGGTGCCAATCTTTAAAAACAACTAAAAAAATACAGGGAAGGACAAGAGGGAGGGAACAAAAGAAAAAAGTACTGAAGTAAAGGTGCACTTTGAACCAATTGGAAATCCAAAATAGCCTAAAAAAATTTATGTAATAACACAGACAGAGGTACACTGCTTGGCTTCTGGGCCTCTGCAACGTAGGTTCTGAATTAATTTTGCTGTCTGGTGTTAATGCACCACTTCAGAAACCTTAAAGCGCTTAGTCAATCCTAGGTGTCAAAATACAGTTATGCCTGGAATCCTTTTAAATTTACAAAAAGTGCCTCTGATGATCTCAGGGGTGTTAGTGAATATAATATAGAGGACAGATAGGACTAATGTTTCTCCTTGACCATCAGAACTATGGTTTTGCTTCAATTTTCCATGTCATAGCACTCATTGTCCGTAAGTATCCTCTAGTGAGCTGGGAACCTCTGATCCAATGAGCAAGAAGTAAAATTAAATGAAGACTTTGCCACTTACAAGTTGGCTTGACCAATTGGAACCCCAGGGACCTTACCTCCCAATCAAGTAGTTAATATGGTCCAATGTAAATTACACAGGGCCTCAAGGACTAAAAACAGTTTGGAAAACCTAGTTAGTGAAGGGTTGCTTATTCCCAGTGTTCCTTTTAACAGCCCAATTTGTCTTATTAAACATGGAAAGAATGATTGACACCTTAGAGTGGTTCACCTCAACCTTGCAGCTGTGTTTGCACCACACAGACCTCTATACCCAGTCCACATATTATGGAAATTACTGACTACAGTCAATCAGCAATTGGTTAGTATCCTGCTCTCACAGATTTGCCAAAGTCTGCTCTGGCTAGTGCCTCTGTCCACAGCCTCTCAGCTGTACTTGGCCTTCCCCTCTGAAGGGACATGATGCCCCATTTCCTGGGTTATCCTCATGGATCTTCCACAGTTGTGCCCTCCCACAGTCATTGCAGGCGGGGTCTGAACTGCATCCTGGTTTCTCCAAGAACACAGGAACGATGTTACATTACTGGCATCTCCTCTGAGGACATTCAGGACATACAAATATTGAAAAAAGGAGCTGAAAAAGGTGGGTGGAACATTGCCACTGTTATGATGTGAGGCCCTTAGAACTTTGTGAAAATTCTGGAAGTAATTTGATAGTCTGAGACTTGCACCTTCTCTGACACCATGAAGAAATAGCTATTGTTTTCCTCAGATCCCACGATGTCTACTAGGTTCTCTTGATGTTTGGGAGGCAATATATTTCTTGTTTACAAGTTTTACTTGAGCCTGTTTGTGCTGTTGTTTGCAAATTTGCACCTTGGTTGGGCACCTCTACCACGAATGCCTGAAGATTCTCTTCAGATTGTCACATAGCAAACAGTCCTGTTAGTGCCCTCACAGTCTCTTTCACTCTAGAGGCCTCAGTGACATTCCTTCATGCCGCCTGGGGTACCCATGTGGCTTTAAGTTGTCTGTAGGTTTCTGATGCTAGAACCTCCCCTAAGTGCCAGCCTATATGTCATTAGAGCTACAGTTAATCTCTTCCTGCAAGACTATCCTGACAGTAGATGGCCCTGAGCATGGGACCATCTATCCAGCAGTCCATTTTGCCTTGGGACCCTGGAAACAGCACTCCCAGAGCTCAGCGTGGCTACTGAGACCCCCTGGAGGCATGATGGAGCCACACCTGGGCCCTCTGGGATAGCCTACCTCCAGGAGGGGGTGGTCCTCCCTATTCTCAGTCCCTTGACAGGTGCTGTGATGTTGAAAAAAAGTCACCTCTCTCAGACTCCCAGGCTCGCTAGGGAGCTCCTTCGGATTCCCTGAGTGACAAGCAATGAGAGTTCACAGACTTGAGGAATAGCAGCACCAGATTTGTCCATGATGGCACTCAGGCAGAGTTGCTACTCTTCATGTCTTAATTGGGACATCTCTGATGAAGGACTGGACCCAAAGGTCATCACACTGACCATACATCAAGCAGTCATCTTAGCACCGACCAACAGTGGTCTCCAGCTAGAGACATTACAGACCATGGGTGATTCCCTGAGATTTGCCCCTTTGTGGTAAAAGAACTCCAGGAATTTGTTGCCTCACAGTTACCTGCAATAGATATCACAGTGACACTTGTCTCTACACATATGTAGGCCGCAACGCCTTACCAGGACACCCTGTCCACATGCAGTTCCAGACACTACTGATAGTAACAAAGGCGCTCATTTGACTTCTCAGAATATACAGTGGTGGGCTCTTAACAAGGCATTCAATGGAAGTTCCTCCTCTTCCAATTCTCAGGATGAAGGCCTCAGCTCCATAGTGGCTTATTGAAATAAGTTCAAATTAATGGAGCGAAAGATGGTCTGTTTCTGTCATCAGTCATCCGGGGGGAATATTAATGTGGCAGTCTTTATCTCCTTTTTCTAGTTGACCTTTTTTTAGGATTAGTTTTAAGTTTACAGAAAACTTGATCAGAAAGTGCAGAGATTTTCCACATAACCCCCTGTCTTCCACACAGTTTGCCCCGTATTTTAAATCTGGTATTACTGTAGTACTTCTGTAACATTTGAGGAGCCAATTTGATACATGAAAGTTCATAGTTTACGTTAGTGTTGACTATTGTTCAATCTCTGGGTTT